ATCTTTTCTTTAAGTTTTTTTAGCCCAGTTTTGGTCGACGGAAATTTATTCTTGTCTCTTGCTTCTTTAACTTTTATTGTTTCATTCTTTTTTTTTAAAGATCGTGCTTCACGTCTTTCATCGGAAGTATTATACCAATCTAGAAGTCGCTTTTTCAAATCTTTATCATTTAACACCGTTTTAGTTTTGTGTAATTGTTTGGACATCGGGTATTACTTATCGAACATATATCGCTTAGCGTACATATATCGCTTAGCGTATCGCTTAACGTTTTAGCGTTAGAATCTAGAAACTGAATGCTAGATTGCGGTAACGATAAAAAAAAATTTTACACATATATCACATGATCTTTTAGGATCTACACTATGTAACAGTAACGATAAGTCTCGTTACCAATCAATGAGTTATGTGCACAACAGTGGGCCAGTTAAAGGATATTCTTCCTCTTCGTCGTACGTTAAAAACGAATCAACCCATATTAATAACTTCTGTGACTATAAATTCTCCCCCTTCTCTTCTTAATCAACTTCATAAAATTTTCAATGAAATTATCGAAGAAGGAACTACATATCCTCAAGAATTCATTCTTGATTATGATGGTTTTATTAATCTATTTTTAAGTCATAATACGTTTATTGCTTTGAAAGATGATGACGATGATGATAATAAGAATAAAGAAATTTGGGAGGATAAAGTGATGGGTATGTTTTATATAAAACCTAATTATCCTGGACGATGTAGTCATGTAAGTTACTATACACAATATAAAATGTATCTCCAGCTTATACAATATCTTTTTAACATTAAAAAATACCTAAATCTTTTTTATTATTTTAGATTTGTAACGCCGGTTTTGTGGTTCCATTAAAATTTAGAAATTTAGGCGTTGGTAAAATAATGGCTGAATCATTTCTTTTATTGGCTCCATTATTAGGTTATAAATCTAGTGTTTTTAATTTAGTATTTGAAAATAATATTGCTTCTATAAAACTTTGGAGATCTCTTGGTTTTAAAGAAGTTGGAAAAATTCCTAATGCTGCAAGGTTAAAAGGTTCTGATAAATTAATTGATGCTTTAATGTTTTATTATGATTTTGATAAAATAAATTGATTGTTTTGTTTAAATTACTGTATACGTACGTATATAATACCCACGTATAATACAGTACGTACTATAATTATTTTTAAAAATACAATATTTATAACTCCCATGTTATATATTACTTTGTTATATATAATAATTATATAATCTGGGTTAGGGTAGTTTATAGTACTGTATAATATATATTTACTAGTACTGTATTATATATTATAGTATTATATAACATGGTGTTATAAATTTAAGTTTTCTAATATAAATTGGGTTAATATTAAAGTATACTGTATATTGTAGTTTATTTTTTTCTTTACTTTAGCAATTCTACTTTATATTTTTTAATTGGCAATGTTTTTAGTTGGCTAAATCTACATATATACTATTAGTTGCTTTTTACTTATACAAATAAAGATTCTTTTGATTTGTCTTATTATTACAATAAAATTATAGGGATTTTTTTTTTGATATTAAGATGACTTCTTGGTCACTTTCTTTTTATTTGATTATTGTTAACTTTTACAATATACATCATATCATATATATTTGAAGAATACAACTAGTCATATGTACAACTTTTGGTTGCTTATTTAAGTAGTTCATTATACCATAAAAACTATATTAGGTGTTATACCTATAACCCAACTAGAAATTATCTATTTAAACCTTTTGTATCTATGTATATTAATTTTCTAACCAAGCAAAAGTACTTAGTACTTTTTATTTTTAAATAAATATATATAGAGTATCTGTTCTATACTGGTTTAAAATATAATATGATTACAAATATCTGATAATACTATAAAGTACTAAATATATATTTTATAATATTGTAAAGTACTGATAATTAATAGTTATCAGGTAGAATATAGATGATATTGGGTCAGTATCATTTAGTAGCTATTTGTTAGCTCAGATCATATCACACAGTAATATGATTGGAGTTAATCAAATAGTTACTAAATAATGTTAACACAATATTGTTTATATTTTACCTGATAACTATATTATTTGAGAGTGGTCATTGACCATATTACTTATACTAATTATGTAAATTATTGTTATTTTGTATAAAGATTAGTTTATTGATTAGTTTATTGATTAATTATATAGTTTTTTGAGATTTTTTCTTTTCTTATTTTTTCATTCTTTTCTTTTTTTTTTTTTTTTATTTTATTTGAAAACTTTTTTTGATTTGAATTAAAACAATCATTGTCACAAATTAAAATAAAATCTGATTAAAATAAAACTGAGGACCTCTTATGCCTATCTTTAGAGTCTATAAAACCCACATATACTTATTTATTAATAAACCTAATCCTAAACTCTACCTCTAATGCTAAAAAGAACCTCAAAAATATACTCCAAAAAAAATTTAAATTTTCTTTAAAAAA